AATTGAAGAACCACGCGTTTCGGCCTGTGTCTTGCCTGGCAGTAGTTAAATCTTTCAGCGTAATATTCAGAATTTTGCTGAATTATCAGCGGTATCTTAGAACGCGGTTAGGTTAGTTAGTTTAAGAGCCTCGTAGGTAGTCACTTGTTATTATTCATTTTAGTTTCTATTTTATTTTACTGTCGGTTCGGCGTAGTTTGTAGCGCAAGAGAACTTTTTCTGTATTTCTAAAGTTGAATAAAAGGAAAAACCCTTCTCAACTTTGTGTACTTTCCAGTTCTTAGCAGTCACCATTGTTTGCGTGCAGGTTGGGGCCGCGCACATTACAAACCTTACAAGCAGAACATCTAGTAATCTACAAATATTCCCTTTTAGTAATTCAACAGACAAAAAAATTACGTTTCTACTTACACTATTATTTCCTGTAACATTACAGTCAAATATCTGTAACCTTTACAGATGTTTACATTGGTAAATCCACATATGAAAACCATGTTATATTTACACGATTAATTTCCTGTAACATTACAGATCTTTGATCTGTAACCTTTACAGATATGCTTCGGTAATCAACATACAAAAACTTTGTTATGCCTACAGAAATCTTCCTGTAACATTACATGTCAAACATCTGTAACCATTACAGGTATAATCTCTGTAAAGTTACTAAGAATATTCCTGTTTTTTGATTACTCAAATAATCCATGCATCCCAGTTTCCACGACTTTTCTTAGTAACTTACAGATTTTTTTACATGTAAAAATTAACTAATTAAGTATTAAATTTAAATTAAGAGAAATCTATTAAATATTAAAAGAATTTTAAATAGTTAAATAGAAAAAAAAAAACTATCGGACCTTGTCTTTTTTGGGGTATCGGCTGGAATTACAATTCCACTTAGAAACCAAAAAGCAGCTCAGCCGATCTTCGTCTGAATTTAAGCTTTGATTATACGTATAATGCACTATTCCAATGGATGATAGGTACCACTTTGTTTTCCCAGCACACTAAGGAAAAAGGATAAAACGATTAAAGTTCTACTAAGAAGAATCACGAGAATTCTGGAAACAGTATGATTATATGGAAGGAAATTTTAACGGAAAAGTGTAGCTTTGAAAATAAAGAGGAAAGACTTGAAGACTTTCTGATCGTGATACTCGGTCTATATAATTCTAGCCGTCAAGGAGAAATTTTCTCTGATTACGATTCGGTAACAACGTGAAAATAAACGTAAGAAATTGTCTGTACAAGTGACAGCAGTGATCCTCCCTTCACTTTGGCTACATTATTCAGAAAGTCTACAGGAGTTCAGCAATAGGAAGTCACTAGCGTGGAACATGTACGACCAGGTTATCACTTTTAGTACTTTCAGAAACACAAAATTTGCCCACCGTAAGGACAGGAGAGTAAGTCTGACATATGATTAGGAGCTTTTCTTTCCTTTAAAGTCTCAATCTCTCTTTGCAAGGTCTCTCTCAGATCCAGAACATCTGCCTCTATTGCAAAAGAAAGTGGCTGAAGATTCGACAATATCTTTGTATCTGCTAATAAAGCAATAGAGTCAACAGGCTCTGATTTTCTTGACATACTTGTAAAGCCATTGTCTAGCCAGTACTCTAGGGTTATTATATGTCTAATAATATATTTAGATTGATTGGAACATTTGTAGTTTCGAAAATATAAGCATTCACACACACCTCAAATAGCATCTTAATTTTTGCTTTTCTATCAGACCATTATGGAGGATCGTTATCCTACGTTAAAATTTTTGAAAATGTTGATCTTTCTCAATTCATTTCTGGAACGTATAAATGAATCGAATACGGATCATTAGGTGGGTTAATGTGAGCAATGCCAAATTTGTGCAGTTCTGTAACTTTTTTTAATCTATACATAAACACTAAAGAGTTACGGTGCTAATCTATAAATGTTTTCGAACGTTTATTTGTTTTGATGTATCTGTAACTATTACGCGTTGTGATTATGATTATGTTATGATTTCTATCACTTTCACCAGAAAAATAATTCTCAAAGAACCGAACATATCTCTTTTTGTTTAGAAAATCATAGCCCTAATGGCCGATTTCACATATTATACTGAAGGCGAAAAGCAATTAATTTCTTTCGCATAAGAGTATATTTTTCAATATTTAAATCGTTTAAAACTGCCCAGATAGAAACTGAAATAATTATTTAATTATTCTTTTTGTTTTTAAAATTATTTATTTACAGTGATAAATTTACACAGGGAATTGGAGCACCTGTAGGTTCCCTAGTAGGCGGAACTTCGGAATTTATAAACTGGTAACTAAATATTCCAATTATTTTTTTTTTAATTTCATTTATCTATTATCTTGTAAGAAGTTAATTTATTTCTGTTTAATTTGCTTTTTCAATGATAAAAATGATGAAATTATAATGAGGGAGGAAAAAAGACAGACGAAAGTAAATGAGATGTCTATTATAATATTGATGTTAAATTATTGTCTTCACTAAACTGATCTGTAATTTGTCTAACCTCTCGGTGCAATTAATTTTGTAAAGAATAATTCTGTAAATTAAAGTTATAAAACAAATTCCAAAATAAAAATATTTTAGTATGAAATTATGATTTATGATTATCATTATCATTATTATTAACAGAGTGATGCGATGTCGTAAAGTGCTGGGCGGTGGAATGCGCCAGGCTGGGGTTCTCGCTGCAGCAGGTTTAGTGGCTTTAGATACAGCAACGGAAAGAATACAAAGGGATCACTTAAGAGCTCATAAATTAGCTCAAGGTAATAGTAATTATACCACATGTTTCTACTCTCAATATACTGACAATTATCAAGGGTTAAATTTAGAGTAGTTGTTCATTTCTTATTATACTAGTATTAACTTTCAATTGACAAGGGCTGAATAAAAGTGAGTAAGGAATTCTCAAATAAACAGCTAGGAGGGACCCAAACCATAGATATAGAGTTATCCATAGGTATTTCGTATTCTAAACTGTACGTTAAAGTGACTATTTATCTTGCTGCCTTAGACTGCAAAATACGCACACACTTCTGTAAATGAATGTCACTAATTCGTTTCCCCCTTTTTAGCAATCAGATTGCAAAATTTTAACTATGGTTCGTATGGTTGTGTATTAACATAAAATCTGAACTGCTCTTCAACCCTCTGAGCGTTATGACCGGGTTTATCCGGTTATCAGAAGTTTTGCTACTTGGTATATAATTAGCTTATAATTTAAGATATTTTGCTTTCTTACTTTTTTAATAATGTAAATATCATCTTAATGAATGTAAGTTTATGCAAATACAGACTAAAATAAGTAATTATACAAACTCAATTAATAAATGCTGTTTAAATACTGGTCTTCATGACGGATCTAAAATCCTGTGTCACTCAGGGGGAGGGAATATTGTATACAAAATCGCAGATGTATCAAAGGAGAATAAAACATTCAGTAGCCTAACGTTAATAGGATAAACTGAGCAATTTAATATCTAGTGAAATCAAATATTTTGTCAATTTACATAATATTTTAAGAGAAAATTTATATTAATATCTGTAAAAGACATATTTAGAGCTATAAAAACTTATTGTTCTAGCAAAAATCATGGTTTCCATTATATTTTACTCAGCATTTCATTTTAGAGATTTCGCTTTAAAGATTTCGTTATCTATGATTTCAATGAAGAGAAAAGACACAGAAAATACGGTACAGCAAAGCGTCTCAATTGTGGATATGAATGGAACTGGATATTTAATAATTCGAAAGTCAGCTCTTGAAGACTGAGTGTTAAAACAGATGAGTTTGAACAGATATCCACTTCTTGATGCAAACTCGGCTCTATAAAAAGTGTAGTATTAATATTATTACATAATCTTTTTATGCTAGCAACTGTAAGTATCTGAGTAGAAGATAATGATAGGCTCTCTACGGTACACCGTAAAAAAATTATTTACCAGGCTAGAAATACAACAAAGTGAATCTTTTCATGGATACCACCTCTAAAACTGACAAGGTATCTGAGAACATAAATAAATATCTTTCATGCTTGTTATGATTTTCTGTGACGACCACCACCTGACCAGATTTAGACCATCACATGTATACTAGGAGAAGTAGTGTCTAATTTCTCTGTCAAACTAAAATTCTTTAATAACATGTATTAAATAAATCGCATTTTACATATTAACGCAATCACCTTGGAGCAATCGGGGCTATTTCTTCAGATGAAAAAGTCAGAGCTACTTATTGGGTGATAGTTTGCGATTTTCGTGACATTTTCAACAAATGATTTCCAAACTAATTATATTTATCGTAAGCCTGCAAACATTGTCAACATACTAAAAGAAAAACACTTTAACAGTTTAAAATAAAATTTTAATTATTGAATGACAGATATATGATACATTAAAAATATATTATTTACATTTTTTGGGGAAATCCCTCTCATTTATTTTTTGCCCTGTTCTTCCCCTTATTTACACAGCGACCTTTTTTCATTGAAAACTCTGAGGATTGTGCAAATTCGGTATCGCGCACAACCTCGGCATTACGCAGCGACTATTTACCAAACGCTTTTCATCATTGTTCACTTTAGAGATTCTGCGGCATTGCTGCAGAAATTTTACCGTTGTTTCTTCCGTTGCTGCCCAATTTCGTCAGTGCAAATTTTAAAATTGAGTTTAAGCCAAAAAATATTACGATTTGTTTTTAAAAACCCTGGAACTTGGAATACAACTATAGATGAAGAAGAAATAGAACCGGATGTGAAAATGGCAACTTCTACTGAGGTGACTACGATAAACGTGATATTGCTTATACTAGATTTTTCTTTTTCTATCTGCCAAATTAGTAATAGTATATAAAAATTAACTTCATCATCCAAATCAAATTTATATTTCAGTTGAAACCCCGTTAATCGAGGTTCCACTTTAACGGATACTCGTCATTAACCTTCGAGACTCTAAATAGGAGACTAATTACTTCCCCATTTAATCCACAATTCCTGATAACGAAAGAATAGCCTTAGCCTCCTGAGTGTCCGCTAATAGGAAGTTCAATTGCATAAAGTTCCTATTATGTATTTTCTTTTTTCATATTAGATAAGTTTTACTTATTTAAAAGTTTCCATATTTGATACAATATTTATTTAATAGTTTATATTTAATTTGCAATTTTATTAATATAATTGTGTTAATATAACCATTTTATTAAGCCGTTGTCTCGCACTTTTCAATAATATTCCAACAGATTCTAAAATGCCTTGAATGCCATTACCGTTAAATAGTCATCTTCCTTAAGACGAAGACTTCCATAGAAGACTAATCATCTGTAACTATGGGGTCTCAAAGAGTGTTCACGGTATATTTAATGGAGTTAAATGAAGTTTCAGTATTTAGTTTAAAGAACATTAAAGGAAAGTTGTTTGAATTAACCACTATGGTCTTTACTATGACGTATTGGAACTGCTGCTCTTATAAAGTAATTCTCTTGCAGAGAAAGAAAAAATCACCTTTAATGAAAGATAATGAAATAATAATATCCACATTTATATTGCAAGGTATATCCCATAGTTGAGATTTAAATTGTGTTAAATTTTAACTACCTCTAAATGAAGAAGTAAAGCTAAAAATTAAATACGATGGCACTACAAGAAAGTAGTTGAATGCAACCCTTAGATTACCTCTGAGGATGGCATTTCTTGAATTATTTAAGTGTTTCAATAGGTTGAGTTCCTTAAATTGGTTTAGTGACGCTAAAACTAGAATTAAGTGATATTTTGCGTTAATTGTATATGAGTAAACTAGAATATGAATATTTTTTCAATCTATAGCTACTTGGTTTGATGGTTGATAAACCAAATGGTTTGATAAACCAAACCTAAATTTTTTTGCTAATTAAAGCAAAATCTTTGCGTGTGAATAGTATAGTTTGTAGTATTACACATTCTTACATAATCCAATATAATTTTTATGTAAAATACTTTAATTATACTTCGACTTAATTTGATGTTTTCAACTTGTTTCACTTTAATATTATGTATTTTCTTGTTCATTTTTATTCAAATTTAAATAGCGAAGTTTTATGTTGCAGATATTCATAATCTAAAGAGTGCACTGATCACCATCAATCCAGATGTTGTTGAAACAAATATGCTTTTGCTTAACTTCCCGTCGCCGCTCTTCACATGTCAACAGTTTGTCGACAGAATGGCTACGGTATGTGTAGCGATAAGTAATGTAAATCTTACTTAAATGCTTTCTCAAGATGTATTTAAACCCGGAGTTTCCAAAGGCGTCAATGAACGCTTTAGGGAAGTAGCCGAAGCTTTTAAAGTTCCCTCAATTTTTTAGAGCTGATGGGGATCCAATGAATTTTACTGAGTGACTGAAGTTCGAGTAAATAAATTATATACCTACTTATTTAATTTCATTTTATATATTCTTCCTGAATGTCTCGAAATCTAGAATATTTTGCAACATGTGTGCAACTGACATATCTGTCATAAAACGCGCACTAGCTTCACTCTTCCTCTTCCTTACTCCATCCATTAAACTAGCAATTCTAATTTTCCTGCTGTTGATCTGGCTGCTCTATCCCAGTGGAATCTTACACTGAATAGCATATGAAGTGATAAAATCCTTGAAACCCGATGGTGATAAATTTGCAGATATCTGTGTGCATTTCATTCCTAGAAGAGTCTTTATCCGTATAGCTTAAGCTAGAGTTTCTTAAACTGTGGGTCGCGGAACCTGCAGCAGGGGGTCGCCAAAAATTTTAGCAGTTTTAATATTTCTTTAACTTATTATATTATAATAATTTTACAATTACCAAATATTTTTACATAATGTATCTGAAAATAGTTAAAGATAAGACAATACAGACAAAGAAAAAATAAAAACGTTTCGGCGCTTCTTTTTATAATATAAACGTTCGCCCTTACTTGCTTTGCACGTGACGCTGTCATTTCGTCTGTTACTGATTTAAAATTTTCACACTGTCATATGTCCTAAAATTAGAAATTAAAGTTAATGACCTAAAACTGCAGTAGTATAATACAGCACAAGTAAAAAAATTAACAGTTTCACTCACGCGTGTGTCGGTTTAACTCAATGGGGTCCCACAAAATTTCCATAAATATTATGAGGCCCTGGGGTCGCGGAAAAAATCTCAGTTATAAAAAAGGGGTCGCGACTGAAAAACATTTAAGAAGCTCTGTCTTAAACAGCTACGATCATAATCAAATTGTGTATAGCAACGTGTACTACGTCGTTCGTGGAATATACGTACATCCCAGCCAACATTTAAAATAATTGAATTTTTGACTTATTGTTTTAGAATTGTTATTGTTGAATTTTAGACTTATTGTTGAATTTTAGACTATATTGTTTTAGAATTTTTAGAAAATTTTCAAATCGTAGTCAGTAGCAGTAGCGATCTTGACTTCTTTATGATCGGCTTTATTTCTTATAAACCATTAGCAGTTAGTAGCTTGCTTTACAATTACATTCAGATCTCCAGATAGGACAAACATAATTATGCTAACATAGTTCTATAAACGAGCAGTTTATGGTCAGAATCTAGAAGCTTATTTCGAGCAATAAAGCGGCAGTGTTTAATTTCACTGGTTCGAGGTTCGGAGGTAACATATTTTGTCTGGAAACGCCATGTTAAGTGATTATCGAGGATAACGTCAAGATATTTTACCAAACATGCATAAACATTCTTTTTTGCGACTTGATAAAATATCTTTAGTCTTTTTAATTTTTATATATTTATTTATCTATTTCATCTTCCAAGCAGATAACTAGGACTCAAGAGCGAAAATATGTGATTGTAACTGTTGAACAACTAAAATTTGAGATGCACTATAGATTAAGATACAACAACACGCCGAACAAATATTAATTTAGAAGTCAAACAACAAAAATCAAATCAGCGTTATATTTTCAAATTTTCACAAGACTAGTTTCAATGGTTTTACCGAGCCATCATCTTCAGCTGCAAAATCGCAAATGAACGAGATAAGATAAGAAAGCCTGGACAGGAGATAAGTTACTGGCGCCATCTGTTGATGAAACCAGAACTAAAACATAATTTCTTTAAAGGCTGAAGGCAAAGATGGATTGGAATTAGGGTCGTTAACTAGAACAGAAAGATTTTTTTGCATGTGAAATGCTTCTAGAAAATCCAGTTTACCAATGGAAGTTGTTTTTTGAAGAATTTTCGCAGCAGAAAAATTGAAAGTGTGATTTTTCGGACCAACAATGTTGGGCAACAGCAGACTTCTGAGTTTCCTTTTTTCTAACATATGCCTCATGTTCTTAACGCGAAATTTTAAGGCTCTCTTAGTTTGGTCAATGTAAATTAAACCACACTGGCAAGGAATCCTGTAAATACCCCAGGAATTCATATTCGGAATGGGGTCCTTGCGTATGGAACTCTGAATTTTATTGATGGGAGAATAAACGACCCGAAAGTTAAATTTCTGCAAAATACATGCAACTTTATAGATTATTGATGGAAAGAAGGGAATGACAACAGAATTTTTATACTCTCCTAAAACAAGAGTGTGCTTTTTGGAGTGCTTTTTGGTGTGCTGAGATGAGAATTTTTTAACTGCTTGAGTAATAACGTTGTGTGAAAAGCCCCTGTCAATAGCTATTGCTTTTAAATAATTTAGTTCTTTATCAAGGGATACTTTGGAGAAGCCAACTTGAAGAGCACGGAAAACATAGGAATAAAATGAAGCTAATTTTTGTTTAGTCGGATGACATGATTTGAAGTGTGGTGGAAGGCAAACCGATGAAGGTTTACGGTAAACCGTAGTACTGAAGTTGGATGTGTTACGTGTGACTAGAATGTCGAGAAACAAAAGAGAATTGCAAGTCTCAAGCTCAAAAATGAACTAAATAGATGGAATTCATTGTTAAAAGAACTTTATTTAAATCATCTTTATTACCTTCAAACAGGGTAAAAGTATCGTCTACGTAGCGAAACCATACCGGGAAGTTTAAAGTTTCAAACAATTTTGATTCAAAATAGTGAATGTAGATATCAGCCAGAATGGGAATGAGGGAGCTTCCCACGGCTAATCCAATCCAATCTTTCCCATGGATGGGACTGAGGGGGCAACTGATGAGACACGTGTACCTGCACGAGAACAGCAGAAAAACTTCTAATTAAAGATTCTAATTAAATGATAGAAAACTAAACAGTGGCGTCATCTATTGACCAAAAAGTAAACGAAAGACAACTCAGAAACAAATTATTGAAAACTCACAGTAAAGTAGTCCATATCCCTTTTTATCCTTTTCAGTTTAGCAGCTGAAGGGAAAGGTTCTGTTTAACCTCCAAAACTATAAATCTTCAAATTTGCTCTCGTTAAATCATGTTATTTATTTTTTATTTCTTTAACATTTAGCTTTTCGGCGAGCTGTTTTTATTACATCTACAGCTAAATATTAACTTCGATGCTTTACACTTTTTGAGATACTAATTAATTAAATGAGTGATATTTTACCTAACATGCTTTCCACCACGGTTTTAAAGGATTGCTATTTACCTCAATCAGATTTACTCTAAGATGCCTTACTAATTTTAAGGAATGTGATTCTTAAAAAAGAAAATCCCCTCCCCTTTTACTTCCTTGTACGAAATAAAGAGGAAGTATTGTAATCGCGAAAAGTTTCAGGCAGCATATTTCAAAGAAAATATCCATTTTGACCGCTATCGAATGCAATTTAACGATGTTTTTGCGTGATATCTGTACGTAAGGACAGAATAAAAGACTCGTTCCTCCAAAAAAAATATAAAAACTGCTTTAAAATAAATTCTGAAGAGAAATTTTCGTGGCGTCTGTACGAACGTATGTACGTACGTACGTACATACATAACTCGCCTAACTCAAAAACGAGTAGCCTCAGAACGTTGAAATTTTGTATATAGGACTGCTATAGCATGTAGATGTGCACCTCGTATTTGGTTGCAATCGGCCGCACCAACGTTATAAATATATTTATAATATATCCACTCTGTACCCGGCTCAGTGATCTCAGTTTCTTTACTCTCATATGTTGTAAATTGTACATTTTTGCTTTAAAAATGATTGAATTATGTTGTTCTTATCTTCCGGTGAGGGTTTTATGCCTTAGTAATCTGTATGCAAATTTTGAGAATTATCAACAATTTTAAAGTTGTTCAAGTGCCGCTAAGCCTAATAATTTTTTTGATGGCGGCCATTGCTTGTTCACATTTGAAACAGCAGACTAGTGGATTTGTTGCCAATCTAGAGAAACTTAGCTTCGCAAGAACAAAGATAACGCCTTCATTTATTATTGCCAATTAAATCATGCTTAATCCTTTCTGGAATTTTCTCCAGGAAATAAGAGTATAAGATTTACTTCGTAATTTTTAATATAGATATTTTGAGTTTCTATGTATTTTTGCCTCTCGCGAAGTGAGAACTGAATTAATTCAAGAGAAATATCAATCGTCCTGTTGAAAACTTTTCTTTTTTTTTTGTTGTTTGCTTAATTCTTTTATACATCATTCTAGCTTTATTATAGTATTTGAATAGAACATAATTATTAGATATTCTATTCTTTAAATTATATAATTTTGTGCATTATGAGTTATAATATGAACGAAATATAATACTGTTAAGTGAATCTAGCGCCAGAGTGTCGCTATGGTAAACAAATACTAGAATGAATTTTAAAGAATGGATTTATTCTATTGTTGTTTATGCGCTGTCGGCGAAGTAGATTTAATTAAATCCAATAAGTTTAAATGAAATGCAAGAAAAAATGCGTATAATTTAATATTCCGTACAAGGAAGTCATGTGGTGTACACATCAGATTTTTTTTCTTTAATTTTATATAAAGAAATCAGACGTTAAGTTTTTGAGGAGGTACTAGACACTGCAAAGCAATATTTCTAATAGAAGTACAGTAATGTGTACTAATTTGATTGTAATGAGCGGATAGCTAATGAAATGCAAGTAGTGTGATCTATGTGTTATCGATGTATGTCATGATCCAATAAAAGGATTGTGAAATTAAGCAGTGGCGTTACTAGAACTCTTGGGCCCCTATGCAAAAACTTTCCTGCCTTCCCAATAAATTTGCTTTAAAAAAGGAAAAAAGTTAAAAGTTAAAAAAAATAAAATATTCAGGAGCCGATGTTTTGATGGTGATTTTTGTCACATCCGGAATAATT